AAAAAAAAAGCGAAGAAATAAATGAAGAGCAGAACCTACTCTCGCGGCGTCATAGCGCAGGATAATATTGTATTTCTGAGTGGTTTGCAGATTATCAACCTTGAAGCTGATTACACTTCTTTCATTCACTCTGGCAAAGCCTTCTCCCGTCCAAGTCATGGCCTCATCTTTTCCAGGATGTTCCCTTGCTTCAATTTCAGCCTGCAAACACTCTCTTCGTATGTTGATTGGGAGCCAAGATGTGTGATAAATGAACAGTCCTAACACTTACGTTTGTCAGCTCTGCTTTTTCCGCTTCGAACGTGAAATGATCGATGTTCGCACAATAGTAGCTCGAGTCAGCTGTGTCGCATCTAAAAACAAAGTCGTTGTAAGAAGCTCGTTACGACTGTTGAGAGGTTCCATGATACCTTCGTCCGCTGAATCCTTCTCTACAGACGCACTGCCCAGTGACTAGATCGCATTGATTATTCAATGAACCTCCTATATCACAGTCACAAGGCTTGCATCCATCTACCTCTTCTGAGAGACCAAAATGCTCAGGCTGAAATTCTACAATTGGCTCAACGTCAAAATGATTAAAAAAAAGACTGCATAACCGATACAAAAGGATGTTTTCAAGATGTTGCGTTGCACTTAGTACAAGCATCTATTTTCACAGTTCATATATGCCTACACAAGCAGAAAATTTCAAGAGAATAAAGTAACCTCCAAAAAAATTTATACGCACATAACTCAAAGACGATAAAATATGAACTTTGAAATGAGTGATCTCAAAACTGACCAAACACTGATCACAATTCTCTCCCGTAACCAGACGTTTGCATGTGCAATGACCCGTGTACTTGTTACATCCCTCGTTGTTATAAGTACCAAGTAGATGACAGGTACAAGGAATACAGCCATCTGGGTTTGAGGCTTGAAGATCCCAAAATCCATTCTTGCAACGATCGCAACTGGAAAGTTGAAGAAATGTGTGAAGCAAGTGCATCGTATAACAATTTTAACGGGCTAAATTTCCCCGTCACTTTGAAACGCTTCACTGACATTTTGAAACTTTAATAAACAACGAAACCCCCTACCGAGGTCCATCAACATTCGGTTTGCAATAGCATTTTCCAGCAACCAGTCCACGCTCTGGATCTTCTTCGCCTTCACAGATTCCCTGTATATACAAATTCGACGACCAATGTATCGGTGAAGAGCATATGACTACGAGTACTCACATCATCCTGAGAACCAGCCTTGTCACAGTCGCATGGAAGACATACATAAGGATCGGTTATAGGTCGCTGAGGATCACGATAGAAGAAAGGTTTACATTGCTCACAGTTTTTACCTTGCGTGTTATGTTGACAATCATCACACACTCCACCAGACATATAACCTATAAGCTTTTTTTGTGCACAATGAAAGGGCGACGAGTAATGAGCTCCATAAGAGAAAAAAGGTGATAAAGTCTACCGCTAGCTTGATAAACGGCTCTGTCGAAATGGCATCTGGCCGCATGCCCGTTACATTCGCATCTTCTGCATTCGTTCGTATCTTCTCCGATGGCTGGCCTCCACGGTAAGTCGTTGTAAAAATCGCGACATCTTTCACAATTCAAGCCCTCTGTATTGTGCATACACTCGCAGCGACCATGAACCTAAAACAAGAATGAGGAACTGAGAAACTATGAAGTACTAATTAGTGTTCACCAAAAAGTTCCACTGAAACACCAGCATGTCCACTGGAACATATCCGCAAAAATTCTCCAAATCTTTTACAACTGCATAGCTAATCCAACTCACAATGTCAGGACGATTCAGAGCAGGATCGTTGCTGTTGTCGATGGGTATACATCGCGAAGCATGACCATAACATGAACAAGATCCACGAACAACGATTTCATAAATGGCGTAGTAGTACTTCTCTTCGATTTCTGGTCTGAAATATGCAAGTTCTTAATATATAAAAA